GGTGCAGCTTTGGGGATGGTTATGGGGGTAATGGGGGGTAATGGGCGGTGACCCCTGCTCCAGCCCCATCCCCTCTATGGGGAGCAGTGACCCCCCCCTCGGGTCGGGGCTTCCCATGTGCCAGGTCTAAGCGCTGCTTTAATCCTGTGTTGTGTTCCCGCTGGATGCTCCCATTGGGAAGCTGGTTCCACCTCTCTCTGGGGGTATCAGGGATCTTGATCCCACCAGTGATTCCCACTTTGTGGAATGTGAGTGTGGCAACAGCATCCCAGGAGGAATCCTGCCCCCAGGAGTAGAGGCCCCACTCTGCTCCTTCACCTTGTGCAGGTACCTCTGAGCACTGTGTGGGCTTTGGGAGCTGGATCCCAGTGTTGGGAAGCAGCATTGGGATGGATCTCAGCGTTTCCTTGTGTTTTCCCCTCTGGAATCCATCCTTTTCCTTCTTTGTGCCCCCAAGTGTTGCCTAATGAAGGCTGAGAGGGGGATGTTTGGAAATTGCAAATGCCCGGGTGCTCTGCGTAATGCAGCAGGAGCGGGGACATGGGAAGTGGGGATTTAACTGGGATATAGCCCATCATCTCCCAGCTTCATGCTCCTTCCCAAAGAAACACCAGGAAAACCCCCGGGGGATATTGAGAACCTGGGTTTATACATCCTCATATGGTTCTTTGCATTGTATCATTCCCAATCCTTCCTCCGTCATCAGGAAAAGCTGCTTCGTGCCAGCGCCTCACTCCAACCCGGCCCATGTTTGCTGGAAGGAGCTTTGGGAAAGGGATTGTCTGGGATTGAGGGGATAAAACTCCAGCCCCAGGTTACAATTCCCTGCTCCTGGATGTGGGATTCCAATGGGGAATGATTCATGGTCTGTTTTGGGGGAGAAAACTTATTGGGGCAGGAAGGATGGAGGCATCTTCTGGAGCAGGCGTGTGTGTGAACTGGGATTTGCTGCTGGAACTCCCTGTGTCCTGTGGCAGGTTTTCCCAGTGGAACCATCCCTTCTGGAGCTGGCCCAGGCTGGGAGATGGAGTTAATTCCCTCCAGGAGGGATCCGGGGCTGGGGGGAGCTCCGGCGTTCCCAAGGTGCCAGAGGCTCGGACAATGGGGTTGTATTTGTGAATGTGCTTAGTTACACCCAGGAACATTCCTCCTCCTAGAATGTGCTCCGGGAATGGCTCTGGATGAGCTCCACGGAGATGAACCTGGGAAGGGAAGCGGCTGCTGGACTCCAGAGCCAGGCAGTGCCGCAGGATGTGGATGTGAAGCCTCTCTG